ACAGGTGTAACGCTTGGTGGGATTTTGTTTTACGCCATAATTGCTCCAGCGCATGACTGTGTCATTTGAGATTTCAGGTGTGGTCAGTCTGCCAAGGTTGTAATGGTCGGGGCCTGTTGCTTCGTGTTGTTAGGGGAGCAAGCGAGTCTAGAGTGTATGAAAGAGAGTTATTGTAGACAGCAGTGGCCAGGTCAAGGCAGGACAGGGGGTTGATGCTGTCGTAGAGCTGGTCAGTTGCAAAGTGGAGAGGAGCCGGGTTTAGGTTTTGGAGATTTCTGCTGGTAATTGTTTGCTGTTTGGTGGGATAGGTGTTAGAGGATGAGGAGACTGTGAAAGTGATGAGATTGTGATCAGAGAGGGGAAATGGGGTGTTTGAGAGGTTATAGGGAGTACAGTGGTGACAGAAGACAAGGTCTAAGGTATTCCCGTCGGAGTGAGTGGAGGACTGTATACACTGCGCTATTTCAAAAGAAGAGGTTATGTGGAGGAGTTGGGATGTAGCCGGGTTATTGACGTTGAAGTCTCCGAGGATGATAGTGGGTAGCTCAGAGGAGAGAAAGTAGGGTAGCCAGGTGGTGAAGTCATCGAGAAAGCGGGACACGGGTCCAGGCGGCCGGTAGATCACTGCAATCCTCAGAGAGATCAGAGAGAATAGCCGGATGCAGTGGGTCTCGAAAGAAGAGAAGCATAGAGAGGGAGGGTTATGGAGGACTTGAAAGGTGCTCAGTGGTGACAGAAGTAGACCAACCCCGCCTCCTTTCCGACCACTGGGCCTGGGTGAGTGGGTCAAGATGAGGCCTCCATAGGAGAGTGCTGCGGGGGAGACAGAATCTGCTGCTTGGAGCCAGGTTGCGGTGAGTGCTAGAAGGTTAAGAGAGCGGGAGACAAAGAGGTCGTGGATAGAGGTGAGTTTATTGCAGACCGAACGGGCGTTCCAGAGTGCACATGAAAACGGGAGGGTGGTTTTGGGGAGCAAGGGGACAGATATTAGACTGAGGGGATTGCGGTAATTCCCGAAAGAAAGAGGATGTCTTGTGTGTGGGCGAAGTAATGGAGGACCAGGGTTAAGAGGAGAAGAAGGGTGAGGAAAGTGGCACGTGAGCGGGATGTATACGGGCACGCATGCCTTCCAGTCCTGGTGTTAGGGTCAGCAGGAGAATGAAGTATCAGCAGGAGGTGATGAGAGCAGTAGTAAGGAGATGGGAGCAGTGAGGGCGAGATGTACAAGTTTTTGGGTGGAAAATGTTTTTTGTTATTTTCACTTCATTGATACTAATATATTTTTTTCACCCCACTAATAGCAATGTATTTTTTCTTTTTTTTTCTCACCTCAATGACACTTATGTTGTGTTCACACACATGTGTTGCCTCGTAGATAAAAAATTGTACAACCACTTTTTTTTTATACCACAGCACACTACAACTCTTAGTAGTGAGTTACCATGCATTGTGGTTTTCTGCAAGGCATGTCTTTGGCAAGGTGCATTGGGGTGCCATTCAGAATAAATAGCACTGAGTATCACCAATGTATGTAATGTGTATTACTGTGCATTGCAGTAATGCACTCAAAAGTGTGAATGGGGCCTAATGCATTTATTTACTGAATCCCACGCTGAGCATTTTTTTTTCCTTTTTACTAACCACTGATATCAGAAAATGTTCTTCCCATTGACTACTGTTGCTGGACATGTTTTTCGCCCACTGATGCCAGGGACTTTTTTCCTCTCGCTTACCCAAAATGTTGAGCATTTTCAATGAAGGCAAGGGGTTCTTTAATTGGATGAGGTGGAGAGGAGGAGCAGTGATGTCATGATCTCAACCAGGTCCAATCATGAAATGCCTTGTATTCATTAAAAAAATACAAGCTGACATATAAATGGTCACAATTCTCAGCTGTTAACTGTGGTCAGTATACAGAGGAGAAGCCGCTCACACAGGAACCGAAGGATAGCAATTATCACTGTAGTAGCACCGACTACTAGAGTGATTGTCAGCTTCCCTTGCAGTCGCTCAAAATTAGGATATTCATACTTACATTGGTCCTAGATGGACCAATGTAGATATGCACTAAAGATCATACCTGGAGTTCAGCTTTAACCTTACTCCTGTACGCTATGCCCAGCTAAATGTAGCCATGTCCACCACTGCCATGGTGCACAGCATGCACCACATGTCTTCTCTGTCTTTTGCTTTTTTTAAGGCTCCAAGGTTGAGCAGTACGTGTGCAGTTATTTTTCCTGAATGCACATATATAGAGGACACTTTTGGAAGGTAAAGTTTTAAAATGTTGCATCCATGGCTGGTATGGCAATCAATTGCCAAAATGTCAAGATATGTCCTAACCTCTCAAAGAAAGTTTTGCTGGACAGCTTGGCTTGTTAAAGGAAAGTGGAAAATGACAAATCAACTGGTGGGATTAACAAGAACTAAAACATTGCAGGAGGAGGCTAAGAAAATGAAAAAAAAAAACACAGTGTTAATGCTGTTGACAAACATATGTGCAATTTTTTTATTTAGCCCATAGTTCCGATTTAATTTAGACCAGTAGAGTTCTGGTTTAGCTTCCATGCTCTACACCCACTTTGTTACCATAAAAGAGTAACCATGCAGTAACTTCAGTAAATATAAATGTTCAGTTACTTTTTTAAATGTTAACCAAAAGAAATACCAATGTGATTTTCACTGAATTTTTAGCTCCCTGTCCTGCGGGTTTGGAATTGGTAATAACTGGGAATAATGGCAGCACTTCATATTACTAGCTATATGTTAAACAGTGTGAATGTTTGCAAACAGCTTATAAAGAGGTAATCACTCTTTGAAAATAGGCAGCCATCAGTTGAAATGCCAGCTACCAACTGTTCAATAAGGTGACATGGGGCTTATGAAATGGGCTTATATTAAGCTGGCAAGAAGTCCAAGGGATAATGTTACCAGTTAGTTTAAACCAGGAGAAAAAAACAGTGGAGAAGAGAAAAAGGGTATTTCTCTAAAGAAATCAGCAAAATCTGTGGCTTTTTATACTATAGTGGTTTTCTTTTTTTCACTTCTCTTGGCTTGACTTCATTGACTTCACTCCATCTGGCATAAAATGTAACGGAAGCCAAAATCTTTTACTTAGTTTTGGTTGCGAGCAGAATGGGGAATGGTTAGAACCCCCGCCATGTTCTTACTGCGAACTGGGGCTCTGTTAGACATATTTTCTCTCATTTTTCCTGCAGAAGTTTTACCGGACATTTTTAACACGTATAGAAATACAAACCCCCTTTTTTAGTGAAGGGGTAACAACACCTTCCCACCCGGCTATTGCAGATTGATGGCAGGGCAGGACACTCGCCGTTATGACTGGGCATCATATGATGGCCTGTCAAAACGAACCACTCACGCGGCTGCGGGGCCGCGTGGCAGCACGATCTGTCACTGGCTGTGTCCACGGGACACAGCCGATGATATATTACTACACCGGCCTGTTGCCAGTGTCATATGACCGCTGTGACCAATTACATGTCAATTGTATACAAAGGATGGCTTCCTTTCATGCCATCCTTTGTATACAATTATTTTGTTAGCTGTGACTGGCCAAAGCAGTCACATGATACAGACACAGGGCCATTCACAGCCAGGGGCGGACTGACCATTTGGAAACTCAGGCACTGCCCGAGGTCCCGGGGTCAGTAGGGGGCCCCCTGAGATGACCCTGGTACCTTTTTCTTAGGCTTTTTCGAATTCAGGCAAGGACACGGGCCCCATGATCCCCTATTGCCAGGGGGCCCCATGAGTTGTCAGTCTGCCCCTGTTCACAGCCCATCTGTATCATGTGATCAGCTTTGCCCAGTCATAGCTAATCACAACAAAAGACTGAATTAATCAGTTTAATCCAGTAAAAATGATTGCAAATATCAATGAAATACATTGGCATTAGCAATCCTAATGTATAAAAAAAAAAGAAAAGTACTGATCATTTACCTAGAGTAGTTCAATGTTACTATGGTAACATTGTATTGCTTTGGCCACAGTGTCCTGAAAAAAAATAGTAAATAAAAGAAAAAAGAATGTCATAAAAAATAAAAAAAATTATAGAAAAATTAAAAAAATACAAATTAAATTATTATTATTGGTATTATTTTCATCAAAAAAATGTAGCAGAATACATTTTGACCTAAATTTATGAAGAAGTGTTATTTATTTGCAAAATTTTATATTCAGGTTTTTTTTTTTTTATTTAGTAAAAAATTAAAAAACTCAGTGGTGATTAAATACCACCAAAAGAAAGCTCTATTTGTGCGAAAAAAAAAATTATAAAAATTTCATATGGATACAGTGTTGCATGACCGCGCAATTATTATTCAAAGTGCGACAGCGCTGAAAGTTGAAAATTGGCCTGGGCAGGAAGGGGGTAAAAGTGCCTGGTATTAATATGGTTAAACCCCTGTCAGATTTGCAATTCTGTGTGCTGGTTGTAGCATTCCCTTCACTTCCTTTCCAATAAAACCTTTGTCACTGGGAGTAAAAAGTGGGGAAAATCTCTGCAGATAGCATTAGATATCAGGCAGGTACTAATTACCACCCACTAAAACTTTCTCAAACTTTTTTGACAATATGCCTTAACTCTTTTTCTATATGAAACTGACAATTGTACTACTTATTTTACATATCACCAGATTCTACGCAATAAAGCCTTAATTCACAATTATCTCTAAAGTGATGTCCTATAAGAACTTTTAAAGCATAGCCTACAGAAAATTTGCTATTTGATAGGAGCACACAATTTTAAGGCTTTGGAAACTATTTACTCAGCATAACTTTTTTTAAATGTAAATAATATACTGTGTATCTGTGCACTAAAATTAACATTAGCGTATTTTTTATAACTGAAAATGATGGGTTTGACAAACAAGTGTGGTAATATTGTTTGGCATACAAAAAATTGCAACTACTACCATTTTATTATCTGGGGTTTTCAGAAAATATATTAAAAAAATGTTGTGGTATTTAAAGTGTTCCTAAACCCACAACAGTAAAATCAGTCTGTATATGCAGTAAAGCATGCTTGTTATAATCACTGTGGAATCTAAGGAACATAAGGTGTTAATTCTCCACAATGTGTTAAAAGGCTGTTTGATTCTGTCTTCTCTGATCCTCATCTTCTTCTTTTGTCCCCAATCCATCTGCTGATAGTACAGAACTCTATGAGTCATTCTGCACATGCTCAGTTTAGTGTGTATAGCTACAGAGTTTTTTTTCTTTGGCAGGGTGCATGTGATCAGCACAGGGCCAATCAGCACTGTCCAGACAGAAGGTCAGGGGTCATGCAGCCTCACAGGAAAGACAGAGGAGAATGAAAACTCCTCCTAAAAGCTGGGCACTGATAGAAGTCACAAAACTGCTGTATACTGCTGATGAGAAAAGGTATTACACAGTTTATATTTACTAAAATAATTGCATTCCCATGTTGTGTGTACTGTGGGAGACAATATATAGTGAATGCAGGGTCATGCATGGGTTTAGAAACACATTAATTGAACATGCTGAAGTTAGAAGCTGATTGGCTACCATGCACAGCTGCACCAGATTCTGAGTGCTCCAGTTTTAGTAAATCCACCCCAATGCCTCAGCTTTTCCCTGTATAGATATCAGTCACAAGTAAAAAAAAATGACACCTCATTAAAGTTCATGTAATGTTTATTATCACAATTTTGTAAACCAGTATTAGTCCAGTAAAACAGAGAGATGATCCTAGCACAGGGATATGGTTTGGAACAGCAACAGTGTTGTGTTTTCAGGCTTCAATGATGGAAATCTGACACTACGTGCGCTTATTTTGGCTTAAATACTATTCATTTAACACTATGCATTTTTACAGGGATTCTATTGAAGGGTATGGTTGCTGTTAAGTAGAGTTTGATTGGGCAACCTTGTCTGAAGTCTGTACTACAAATCCTGTGAGTAGAATATGTGACCACTGTCATAACATTTAATAAAGATACGGTAACTATTTTACCAGCCTTATTTTACCATTGTAGTTCAGTTGAGCAGAATTGTTGGAATAGCTAAGGATTCTTATGAGTATAGTTCCGCTTCAAGTTCCATCTATGATGTTTCAAATGGAAATGTGTTAATTTCTAGAAGTTTGGAAGTCTTTGCTGTATGTGGTAAAGGAATTACACTGGCAAAATAAGGTCCTTAGTATGTTGTGTTCCTGGCCTTTCCATTTACAACACAAGTGATTCATTTTTCAACAGACAGTGTTATTGGGTGCGAAATTTATTGCTGTGGCTTATTTAAAACAGAAATTTGAGCTGAAATAAAAAAGCGGTGAAAGCTTTAAAAAGTTGCAGTTCTATAAAAGTCAGAAAGTAAACTGCAGTAAAGAAATGTCAGATTCAATAATCATAAAGTTAGTAGGAGTTTCTGTACCTAGACACAGATTTCAGTTTCTAAAATTAAATGGAGGGATAATTCATGTAAATTCTCCTAATAGCAAAACATTGTAACTGCACTCTACAAAAGGTGGATGTTTTCCAACCCCATTAACACACTCACAAGTGAGATATTATTGTTCCACTACAGTGATGTGCTGCAACTTGGTACTATGGAAACCATTGGCCTTGAGAATGGCAGCTAAGCAGCTCTGGTCTAGTGAACCAGTACCACAAATCTCCCCCCACACACACACACACACACACACACTCACACACACACAAAAAACAGTACTATAAAACTACAGGACATGGTTATAAAGCCAAGTTGGCTGGGTCAGGTCACTTCTTTGCCATTTGTTCAACATCTGAATTTCACAGTTGTCAATGGGAAGTTCAGATCTCAGTAACAGTCACTATATTTATAATATGACTAAGAAAAAATTCACTGGCTAGTGATTCGTAACTGAATCCCTTGAAAATCCAGTTGTGCTTGATCCCTTGTTTCGTCAAACTGCCTTGAGCCTAAAACCCTAATTTACTTACACTGGTATGTGTTGCCTGCAGCCAGCAAAGCAACATCTTATAACTTTCAACGAACATAGGCAAATGTTAGCAAATAAAGAAGAATACAGGCAAAGAAATGTGTCTTATGAAAACCCAGTTAACCTCTCTGGCGGTATTCCCGAGTGTAGCTCAGGGTAAAGTTTCTGTACCAAAAGCGGTAACCCCGAGCTACACTTGGGCTTACCATGCGGTGCTGCATAGGGAGTCCCTGCAGCACTTACCTTGTCCTTTGCTCCCGCGATGTGTCCCCTGCAGCGTCCCCAGCCATCTCCTCCGGCCGATGCCGGCATCCTGCTTCTGTGTTCCGGTCCCTGTGACGTCGCCGCCGCCGGCGGCGGGAAATTTGAAAATTAAAAAAAAATGTCATTTTTTTCAAATCGAATTTTACATAGTAAAACATTGCTTTTTCAAACCATTTCATATATATTTTGTCCCGAGTGCTTTGTCCTGTCCCCTGTCTGCATTTTGACTGTTCTTTCAGCCTGGAAACTTAGAAAAGTCCATGGCGTCCAAAAAGTGTCCCTTTAGGTCAAAAGCGGGTTTAGATCAGCTAGAGAACAGCGATAGTAAATCAGAACCACTTGCAGAATTGAGTGATAATGATTCGTGGAGAAATTCGTCATCAGACACTGAAAACAATTTTGCGACTTTGCTCAGTGATGTGCGAACTTGGCGCTATATTTCAAATTTCAGTGTTTTTTGGTTTTATTATATTATTGAATTAAATGTATTATTATTATATTATTATTTTTTATGATTATTTATTAAATTATAATTTATGATTTCGTGTTTCAAATTTTATCATACCCGGGATGTTTACTAGACTCTTGTTTGGACAGATTTCAGTGAGTTATTCCTAAATATTACAGCCTACAATAAAAAAAACTACATATTTCCATGCAAAATAATGGTACCGCTTTCAGCACCAAAAATCTGAAATAATCATACCGCCAGGGAGGTTAAAGAGCAATTTGTGATGATTTGTGCATCTGAAGAGAGGTGGGGGATCCTACATTAACAAAAGCGCTGCATATTGATAATTGTTATGAGAGGCATAGTGAGTTGGTGAGTGCCCTACCAGAAGGGAGTGGATGTGCACGGTATACACATGGTATTTGAAGGGTCACTTGGTGGAACAGGAGATTAAATAAGTGAATGCCGTGAACATTATTTATGGACTTTTGTTTTTTCTTTATATATACTGTTAAATGTTGGTCATTTTTTGTTGATCACAGCTTCTCAAATTGGGATTTAAATTATAGTTTGATATAAGGGCACTCAATATAAATGTACTTTCTGGAGCTTGTGCTGTGTCACTTTCTCCCCTGCTATGCCTATTTCAGCAACAGCAGTAACACCAAATGACCAAACCAGGGTCCTGAGAAACATTATTTAAATTACAACCTGCATGTAATGCTATAAAACACTTTGATCAAAGTATAAAATGTAAAAAAGGCCTGCTAATAATACAATAGAAAGAGTGTACAGGCCAAGACATCCAGCCTAATGTCTTGGCCTGAACACCTTCCATCTGCTTTATGACTTCTCCGCTGTTTTGGAAATTGGATATGGAGGACTATCTATAATTTGTGTTCTACCTATCAATTTTGATGAGCTGTATGGATGCCCTAATAACTCTGAAGCTTACTTATTTACTTTGAGTTTGCTTCGTTGGGCTGGACATATTTTTACTAAAAGGTCATTACTTTGGGGGTTATGCACTGATGGATGGATAAGGTTCAAGTTAACTACTAAATGTGGAGGTCACATCTATGTGGAGTCTTTTGGCTGGAGGCAAACTAGCCACTTTGTTACAACAGTGGTGTCTGCGTTAGCACTACCGTGCTTACTGTACTATACTGGACTTAAGACATCTTGGGGTAGATTTACTAAAACTGGTGAACTTATAATCTGGTGTAGCCAATCAGCTTCTAACCTCAGCTTGTTCAATTATGCTTTGGCAATAAAACCTGGAAGCTGATTGGTTTCTATGCAGAAGTGAGCCTAATGTTGCACTCTCCAGCTTTAGTAAATAAACCCCACTGTGTGAAGGTGCACTGTTAGTCTTGCTGCCATAACATCTTTACCTCCCCAATAATATTGACCTGCCTTACCCACAGGATATTTGATCCTATTGTAGCGCCCTCCTAGGAAAGCTAGGGGGAGCTAGTTAATTATTTTAGAGGCTGAATAGCAACCTGGCACAATAGTCAGAGGATCAAATTTGGGTCAGGGCTGAGAGGCTCTGCAGATCAGCTCTCTGAAACCTACCTCTGATCTAGAGACTGGGAAAAGTCTCTAGAACTCACTAGGCAGAGTTGAGGAGTAGCTAGTCTGGAGTGCAAGTCTGGAAGGAAATGCGTGCTGCCTGGCTGTGCAGGACTAATCTCTAGCTACTCCTAAGGGGGTAGTGCTACACTATTATAGAGCATGTATGACTTTGAAAGTCTTTGGGGGCTTATATTGGATGAACAGGTACCAAAATATGAAAGATGTTGAAGATAATGAAACTTAAAATGTATCATCCTTATTAGTGGATTTCCTCATGCTCATCATTACTACAAGATCTGAAAGTTACAGTGCATCCAGAAAGTATTTCACAGCGATTAACTTTTGCCACATTTTGTTATGTTACAGCCTTATTGCAAAATGGATTAAATTCATTTTTTTCCTCAACATTTTACAAACAATACCCCATAATGACAACATGAAAGAAGTTTGTTTTGAAATCTTTTCAATTTATTAAAAATAAAAAACGAAAAATAAAACACATACACAAAAGTATTCACAGCCTTTGCGCAATACTTTGTTGAAGCACCTTTAGCACCAATTACAGCCTCAAGTCATTTTGAGTATGATGCTACAATCTTGGCACACCTATTCTTGGGCAATTTCCCCCATTTGTCTTTGTAGTACCTCTCAAGCTCCATCAGGTTGGATGGAGAGCAGCCCTTTTCAGATCTCTCCAGAGATGTTCAATCAGGTTCAAGTCTGGGCTCTGGTTGGGCTACTCCAGGACATTCAGAGTTTGCCCATAGCCACTTCTTTGTTATGTGGGCTTTGTGCTTAGGGTTGTTGCCCGTTGAAAGAAAAACCGTTGCCCCAATCTAAGGTCCAGAGCACTCTGGAACAGGTTTTCATCAAGGATGTCTCTGTACATTGTTGCATTAATCTTTCATTCGATCCTGAATAGTCTCCCAGTGCCTGCCGCTGGAAAACATCCCCACAGCATGATGCTGCCACCACCATGCTTCACTGTAGGGATGGTATTTGCCAGATGGTGAGCGGTGCCTGGTTTCCTCCAGACATGACACTTGGCATTCAGGCCAG